AGGTATACTGCTACAACTCAAACTTCAATATACCGACTCGCCCTGTTGGTGACTCATTTTTGCAGCCATTTCAGTGACTGATGATCGGTCAATCCGGTGAACTTATATCCTTCTAAATAACAGCGCATTTTCCGTATGCCCCATACTGCGAGACATTCCAGCTCTGTAGAGCTATAATTTTTCTCGCTGCTGTTTAGCGAGCGGCTAACGTATGCTATTACTCTCTCTCCTTCTGTGACATTTTGTGTGAGGACCGCTTCGGGACCGTGTTTACTAGCGTCCATCTACAGTGTAAACTTAAGATCAAAATTTGGACAGGCGAGAACTGGTGCAGAAACTAAAGTTTCTTTCAACTTGCGGAACGCGTTCTCCTCTTCTGTCCCCCAATGCCATTTGACAGTCTTCTTAGTCAAATTTGTCAGCGGTGAAGCAATTTTTGAAAACCCGGCGATGAACCTCCTGTACCAGGAAGCCATCCCTAAGAATTGCCGAATGTGCTTAACTTCCGTTGGTGTTGGCCAGTTACTCACTGCACTCGTCTTCTCCGGATCCGTTCTAATTCCTGATTTATCTGTGTCCCAGATATTTCAGTTTTGGGCGGCAAGTGACATTTTTCGCTATTCAATCGTAATTTTGCCTTTCTTAGATATAAAAATATTTCTTTGAGTACTTTCAAATAGTGGTCAAACGTTCTTGTCGCGATAATGATATCATCGAGATATACCTGAACGTTTTTTTCTAGATCCGGTCCTATAACGGTGCCCAGTAATCTTTGAAACGTTGCTGGAGCGGAATGTAATCCAAACGGCATGACTTTGAACTGTTTCAGTCCTCAGCCGAGTACAGTAAATGCTATAATTGATCGACTCTCGACTGTTAGCGGCACTTGCCAATACCCGCTTTTTAAATCGAGAGTTGTAAGGTAGGTTGCTCCCCTTAGTTTATCTAACATTGCTGTTATCTGTGGTAACGGATATGCATCCCGTTCTGTTACCTTGGTGACTTTTCTAAAGTGCACCCAGAATCGGTGCTTTCCATTTTTCTTTTTTACCAGAATTATTGGTGAGCTCCATGCGCTCTGTGAGCTTTCTATAATTCCTATCTTTTCCATGTCTCTCGATCTATTATTTCCTGCATTGCCGGATTTCTAGACCGATATCTTTGTTTAATCGGTTCCGTACCCGCCTTGATCTTTATTCTGTGTCGCACCATGTATATGGTCCTGTGACCCCTTCGAACTTCGCGAATTCTGTCTTTAAGAATTTTCTTAATCGTGCCTCTTCCTTCTCGGTGCGCGGCTGCATCCATTCGGAAATAATGCACGTACTTGTGTTGCATTATGACTGCGGTTTACCCTGCGGTGGCGGAATTGTTATTCCTAGTTTCGTCCACAAATCTACTCCGATTATTATGGAGCTTTCCAATGTTGGTAATATGTAAAATTGATTCTCACAATGCTTCTTATTTATTAGTATTGGCAATTTTATGCTTCCTGCTAATTGCGTACTACCGCCGTCCGCTAAGCGGACTATTCGTGTGCCTCCTTGCCTTGCTCGTTGGTCGTTTTTTATTTTTTCGACAGTTTCCTGGTTGATGCCGGAGACTTCTGAGCCTGTATCGAGCAGTGCATCGAATTTCTTTCTATATATCTGCATTCTCAATTGCGGTCACGGCGTATATTTAATGTTAAGTGTTTCTACGACCGAGGATTGCCTTCCTCCCCGGTCCGTGTAAGGTTTCCCGGTCTTGGGTGACAATTTTTTGTCAGCATTCCATCTTTTCCGCACTGCGAGCAGAACTTTTTCTGCTCGTTGCGACAAATTCTTCTCGTGTGTCCTCTTTGTTTACATCACCAGTAGCATTCTGAAGCCTTGTATATTGAGGCCGTTATCGGTGTCCGCGGCGCTGACTTTGCATCTCTCCGAAATATCCTTCGTTGCCGTCCGGTATCCTCGATTTCGCCCGTCCTTGCTTCGAGCTCGCTCAGTGTATGGATGAATCTTCAGATCCGAAGACATATTTTCATACACTTACTCTATGTGGTCGCGACGCGAGAACCCTCCCGTTCGTCGCATTAGCGTGGCGAGATCATTGGCGTATTGTCGAAATGATTCGCTCGGTCTTTGCTGCTTCCGTTGGTTTTCCTGTTTCATTTGGAAACGATAACAGTACAGCAAGAAATGCTCCCTAAATGCGTTTAGAAATTCATTCCATTCTCTCCATGAATTTCTATTGTTACGATACCAATGTAGCGTGCCGCCTCTTAATAACTTAGGTAGGCCTTGTAGCATCTTGTCATCCGTATAATCAGCAGCTATTCTGCAGTTCCTCAATACGCTCTAGGAATGAAACGTGGTCCCTTCCATCAAATAGACTGTCCCATTTTCTTACTTGGTTAATCGTCTTGGCGATCATGTCCTGATCGACGCTTTGCATCATCTCTGATGCGCGGCTCGTTCCTTCCTTCTCGTTTCCATTTGCGAAAGCTTGAGTATTATTTGTTACGAATTTACTCAACCTTCCTCTTAGTTCGTCTAAGGTTTCCTCTGTGGGTAATCCTAATTCGGCCATCTTTTTTATTATGTCTTCGTTCGACAGTGTATAAATCCACTACTTCATTTTTCTTATTTCTCGCTTGCCTTCCTTTTTACTTTCTAGAACTGTTCGGGCGCCAATTTGTAACCACGATGCGTCGCGTTCCGAATCGCTCGCCGGTTCGGGTTCGTAGGAGGCGGAATAAATTTAAAAACAGTTAATTTAATAATTAAACTGAGTCGTATATTTAAAATCAGGTAACGATGTACATTAAATCCGATGTTGAGTGTCAACGTCGTTGGTTTTCGTCGATTTGTGTACAATCTGCCAAAGGTTTTGTTTAGGCGATGGTTCGCAAGAGGCTATGCGCGGTGCGCGGGACGCGGACGGTTTTGTTGTCGCGTCGTCATTTCGTCTGTTGACGTTCTCAGCTGCACGCCTCTTTAATTCCGGTTGACAGTTTCTTTCTACTAGTTTGCTGCTGTTCGATGCAGCACAGTATAGGCGGTATGTCGGTGATATTGCTGAGCTGCGTGCGGTATATCGCCTCGATGGTGGTACCTCAGATACGATTCCTCTCCTATCGCGGAAATTCGGTGCGGTTCAGCGTATTCTATGTAACGATCTTGTGTACGCGAAACCTTAGCTGGTAGATCTGTCTTCGTATTTTAACGAGACCGGCTCGTTCTAGCAAGATCGCGGATGCGGTGAACACGGTGCCGCGGACGTACCTATGCGTCGCAGTAACGGAATGATTCCGATCTTGTTTGCCGAGATCGGTTTGCTAGTATCGCGGAGGTCGACTCGCGCCCTTGCGAGTTACCGACGGCGTGATTCTGCCGCGGATCCTTATGACGCGGTGTCGAAGCTGCGCTGCAATGAAGTGAGACTTCGAGTTTATGGTGACGAGGTCGCACACGGCGACTCGATAGCGGTGTGATCTCGCTCGCGCTAGAGCGAAGGCGAGATCCGGTTCGCGGTGTGAAGGTTGCGTTAAGCGCCCTTCCGATGTGTGAATTCCAGGCCCTTCTGCGGCCGTAGAATCTTGCGGATAGCTGTAGTTCTCAGTGTCGGCGTCACGAATCCGTGAGCCAACGGGAGAGTAACTTCTGTCGCGTATTCGCGAACGGGAGTCGACCAGGAGTGATATGGTTTACACGATATCGGTGTCCCTTATCCGGGCACTGACGGCGGAGTGATTCCTGTCGCATAGCAGCAATCTGCTAGGAACAGTAGTCGGAGTAGTGTCGGTATCACGTATTCGTGAACCGACGGCGGAGTGATTCCTGTCGCGTATCCGCGAGCAGCAATCTGCCGGGAACGGTATTCGGAGCAGTGTCGGTATCACGTATTCGTGAACCGACGGCGAAGTGATTCCTATCGTGTATCCGCGAGCAGCAATCCGTTAGGACTCGGCGGATCTCTCTAAAGAGCGGATGATCGGAATCTGATTCTCTCGAAATAGCGGTAGATCGGATTTGATCTCTATCTAACAATTTGAGGAGTTTTATACTTTTTGAATCACGCTTGTTTTGCTATTTACCGCAGCTGTTCGACGGTATGTTTATTCGTGTATTTGGAGAACGCGGTGTCCTCTTTCGTCTCTTTTCCTTATGCGCGGTTTTATGCGTTTTTTTAAATCGGTTTTTGTAAAGAAACTATGTGGATCGTTACATTTATTATTTTATTATATATTTTAATATTTATTATATATATTTATTATTTATAACTATTAAATTTATTTCGATCGATTCAGCACAGCCTACAGAGAGAGCGTTTTCGAAATTGGATTTCGAGGTTAAAGTCCAAAAATAAGTTAATAATTTATATTTTACCACGGGGCCGGCATTTTATAGGTGCGAAACCCAATTTTTGCCTAAAAGATAATAGAAAATATTCAATTTAAGCGGCATTTACTTCAATTAAATAAATAATTTTCTAAACATTTTCCCTTAACTTTCTATTACTCTCGATCAACTGATGAATATTAGTGCTTACATGTAAGGGAACTAATGTGCCTGTCATTAGTTAAATCTTTTAATTTAATCTTTTTATTACTGCATTAATATAGCTTTATAAAATCAAATAGATGTGTTAAAACATTGGTTTATTGTCGATCTATCACAGTAAAGTTTGAATTTGGTAACAATGTGTATTGCATTAATTTCACATATTTTTTTCTTACTATGAGCGAAATTAATAAAAGTTATACTAACGGAAAAGACGACCATACAAATTTAACATATACAAGAAATCTTATAAATGGAAAGTCAGACAGCTTACTAACTTTAGTATAATTAGAAAATAAAAATTTAATTGAACGTTTGCTTTATACGGGAGCAATGGAGAGTTAATACATGCTATACTTTACAAAAAGATCCGAATTAATTTCTCCCCAGTCTAGTAAATTAAATGGATAAGTCAATATATATAATATCTTTAAGTTATTCTGTTTTAATCAACAGCGTCAACCAGTACTCATTAAAATGCAATTCTTGCTGCTGAGTTTTATCTGTCTGTTTGAAGTATTTATATGTTGCTGGCCCGCTAATAATCTGCTACTTATGGTACGTATATTAATGACTGAAGAAACGTAAGGGAGTAAGGTAACGGATTATATGGGGATAACGTTGATGCCATTAATATATAAGATTTATATAGCTTATTTATATAAGATTTATATAGCTATAGATGTTAACGTAAAGGTTAAGAGAGGAAATGGAAGAGAAGGAACTTCTATCGAAGTCAGGCGGGATTTAGGAGAAGGGTAGTGACGATGGATCATACTTTTGCATTAAATCATATTATAAATAGATAGTCGGGGAGGAAGGGGGGATGGTAGCGTTTATCGATTTCAGGGCAGCGTTTGATTTGGTAGACAAGAGGAAACTTGTAACGTTTCGTTTTTCTGCGTGCCGGATTTCGCTCGCCGGAGTCCGGATCCGTGTGAGAGGAGATGAGAGAGTGTGCGAGAGTGAATGCGCTATTTACAACTTAGATTTATTGGAGACACCAACAACAAAGTACTATTTACACTGAAATATTTACAGTTGATATGAGCAGGGGGCGGATGGTAGCCGTGGCACCTATTGGGGCAGCTGGCACGACTGGGGGGCCCGCGGGGCGCGGTCGCAGGAAGCGAAGACGCCGGTTGGATCGGGCAACGCGTGCGTCTCCAGGAGTTAGGAACGGCGATCGGTTGAATCGGGCAACTCGGTCGTCGCGTGTTTTGCAGGAAAGC